AGTTTCACTTGACTGTAAAATCTGGTTCAAAGCTGTCAATGTCGATTCATGGATTAATCATTTTCAGACATGGTAGTGAAAAGGTGTGAATGAGGATATGAAGAGAAAACCTATGCGTACAATACTCTAAACATAAAATTCGAATTCATCATCACTTCTCTTGGTTTTTAACTTTATTTCAATCGATTTAACATCGATATCGATTCATATAACTATTTCCAATTTTTGCTGTTAAGATATAATAAGAACATCTAAACCTTAATGTGTTACTCTTTTTCTTGTTAAGTTGAGTGATAATTATAAATTATTGATAAATAAAAAGTTACTTTTTTTTTAATAAAATGTTTTCATATCCATAGCAGAGATACACGATAGAGATGTATAGAAAGACGATCATCACGACGATTAATATCCATATTATTTGAAAGTTTCAAAAAGCATCTATAAATCAGCGGTATAAAATTTGCTCTCACTACGGGTAATATCTGAGCAAGTAATTCTCTACCAAATGAGACGTTTCTAACCTCTCTACGACGATTCTTGAGCAAACCATATCAACTTTAAAGAAAACCTACAGCAACATTTTTTTGTCAAGTCGTTATTTTCCCAATGATCACTAGCGTGAATAAATTACCGTAACAAAAACTAGAGTGTAGCGAATTAATGAATTCACACATCTATTGTTTCCTTATTGAACAGAGATATTCGGTGTTTTTAGTAATTTATCAACATAACTTGAATGTTTGAAATTATGAATTTATTTTCATATTTTATCAACAAATTTTTATGTAGGTAAAAATAGAGAATATACGATAAAGTTAAACCTATGAGATTTGTTTATACTTTATGTGTGAATTTCATTTGATATTCTTTGAGTGAAATCAATAAAGAATCTTGATCAACTTGATATTCGTCTTACAACATCTGGAAGTCAATATAACCTAACAGAAGAATTTTTTCGACAAAAATGAAAAATGGATTTACAAGTCGAATATGTTCAAATCTTAAATATATTGTATTGATTCTTACAAAATTTACATGTTTGATTCTTTTTTTTTCATAATAGAATAAAATGAAACAATTTTATTTTATCTTGTAGTAAATCATTTAACAGATTGTAGTAAACTCAATATAATTTTGTTACTATCTGTTGAAAGCTCTAGTATTGTAGAAATTAAATTAATTTTAATATAATTTACTAGATGATTTAGTAATAAAATAAAATAAAATAAAATAATTTCGTTCTATTCGATTATTATATAAAAGTCTTATGAATATATTATTTCTATTCTCTTTTTTTTTCATTTTAATTTTCTTATTTATCCCTGTTTAGACACGAAAAACTAGAATCATCTAGTTCATCAATGATTCTTTTTCTTTCTTACTTTTGATTGAATACGAACAAATTGTTTAAATGTTGTAGATCAATTTTTATTCAAAGTAGAATATTTTAAATAAAAAACTGTTTTTCAATAATGATAACATTGTATCATGTTGTATTTTGAAATAGTAATTTGTCAATCATGTATTTGAGTGCTGGTCTATAGTGTAAAGGGAATAAGTACATATATGATGAATTGATCGTCGACGAAAACAAAGATGACAATGATCATTTCATCAATTATTGAGTTCATGAGAATGAATTGTTTTCTTTTCGATTTCGATCATCAATCTTTTAATTGGTGGAGAGAAAAAATAACACTGAAACGTCATTGACTAAAAGTTCATGTCTCAAACATATATAAGGAATGATTTTCTTGTATGAAACCATTCTATTGAAACATAATTATGATAATGAAATTTATACAATCATACGGTACCGTATCATTATTTACAATGTTCCAAATTTGAATGTTAACATGTATTATTAACTTACGTAATGTTTTATATATTTCAATATCAAATCGGGTATGTTGCTATAGTTTTTTTTATATAGAAGGAGAATAGAGAGATAAGACAGTTACTAACTAAATTTAGTCTTTTTTTTTGCTTATTGAGATGCGAATAAATATAAATAAATTGAAAAGTTCTAATGGCCAATAGAACTTTTCAAGTTATTTTTTTGATAAGGTAGACATGTAATCTATTCTAGATGGAATATTTTTTGTTTTTCTTTGTTGTAGTAGTAGAGTGAGGTATTAACTTATATCACAGCCCGTCAGATGGCTTCGTAATCTGACCCAGGGAAATCTCTTGTGCCTATGTTGGAGAAAGCAGTGGAGTACTCGGGAAGGCCGTCTGTTCGTAGGTCCCTGTCGCCGTTCACGTACGTCACACCTATGATCATGTCTTACCAGTCCGGCGTGGTCCGCTCTGCGTGTACCCATTGCGGGCTTACAGGGGATCTTCCTGGTCGCGCGCGCGTGTACGCGAAAATGAGCCGAGAAAAACCAGGAAGTGAGGTGAATAGCAATCAAAATCAATTTATTGAGCAAGCGAGAAGAAAAAACAACACAGTTACATTTTCTTTTTCACAGAGTTAATGTTATCTATTGTCGTTTTAATAAGAGGATGTGTTGGTGGAAGTGATTTTTGTCGGATAGCAAGTGCCTTTTCTAGATATGAAAGTGCTTTTGGGTAGTCATCTTGTCCGGAATAAGCCATGCCGATGTTGTTGTAGGAAGTAGCCAATAAGGGATGATTCGGAGGCAGAGCTTTTTCTCTTATTTTAAGTGCTTTGTCGTAAAATTCAAGTGCTTTCGAGTAGTTACCCATGCTGTCATACGCAAGACCGATGTTGTTGTAGGAAGTAGCCAATGAGGGATGATTCGGAGGCAGAGATTTTTCATAGATTTGATGTGCTTTGTCGTAAAATTCAAGTGCTTTCGAGTAGTTACGCATGTTGTTATACGCAAGGCCGATGTTGTTGTAGGAAGTAGCCAAATCGGGATGATTCGGAGGCAGAGATTTTTTCGTTATTTCTAAGTCCTTTTCGTAAAATTCAAGTGCTTTTGAGTAGTTACCCATGGCGTAATACGCTGCACCGATGTTGTTGTAGGAAGTAGCCAATGAGGGATGATTCGGAGGCAGAGATTTTTCTTTTATTTTAAGTGATTTTTCGTAAAATTCAAGTGCTTTCGAGTAGTTACCCATGTTTCTATACACTTCACCGATGTTGTTGTAGGTAGTAGCCAATGAAGAATGATCTTCCGGAAGAGTTTTTCGATAGATTTCAAGTGATTTTTCATAAAATGAAACTGCTTCTTTGTATTGCCCTTGATGCAATTTCAACCCTCCAAGCTGGTGATAGATATCTGCTCTATCACTGTCGCTGGACGAGTTCTTCAGTAGTTCATTGTAAAGTTCTTCAGCTTGATTTAAGTGACCCACTTTTAGCATTAGATCACCCAATCGATGCCATCCTGTGGATCCAAAGAGCTCCCCTTTTATGCGTTCAGTAAGAGCAGCCAGTTGTGGATCATTGTCGCCTGTGAGACTTAATTGAACTTCCCATAGACGACTGTTGCTGACTGCCTGTTTGATATCATCGACACGAAAAACAGTGTGCATTGAGAACAGAATTTCTTTTTCACTTTCGATGGCACTGTGTTCGTCGATGAGGGCAAATGGAGTAGTTGAAGCTGAAATTTTACTTGGATCAATTGTCATGATGAAAAGGACACCCATGATGTCTTTATTCTTGTGCATGGCACGTTGAACGAACCCCATGGCTATCTGTTCTTTTTTACTAGTCGACAAAAAATTGTTGAACGAAAGCAGTCCTCCTTTCGTGTCGACTAGGCGCTGAAAGTCTTCTTTGATGAGCCCTTGACCCCGATAAACAATAAATTTTTTCATATAAGTACCTGACTGTTCTCTGTGCAGTTGCTCTAATTGCTGATGAAGATTTCGGATGAAGAAGCCCATTTTTGTCATGGCTTCCATGTCCAATGATCGTAAGGCGCAGTTGAGCATGCCATAAACAAACATTTCACATGTATACCACCAGACGGGCGATTTCTGATGATATGTACTTTGAAAGTCCTTTAAGTCGTTCTCTGGAATACCTTTGCTACGACAATAGACAACCAAATCGTTCAGCGGCTTAGCATTGTCTTCATTGATTTCCAATATAATTTCTTTGAATAATACTGAATACATAAACGTCGGTTCCAATTGGTTGAGATTTTCTTCATTAGACGTTGCTGCTGCAGCCGTCATTCGCTTCGGAACGAAGCTCATCGGCATTGTATCATGATCGCAGTTGTGGGCGACCTTTTTCAACGATTTGAGAATGGGCTCGATTGAGGTGAAAACACCTTCAATCTTTGC